ACTGCCTTTTGGAAAAAAATAGCTTCAAGGAATGGATTTTTTATTTAGAAAGCGCATTAGGGAAAGCATTAAAGTGTCTCTGCTGTGTTGTGCTTCTGATATGAAATAGGTCTACAGACCAAACCAGTGGGATTATCAGCATCTTGTCGAGTTTAGACTATAAAAACATTAACAAATACCAAACTTTGTTCTTTATTTTAGTACGTAAGTTGAATGTTAAAATATACCAGATAGCCTAAAGTTCCAAAATAGTTACTTCCTTTTGTAGTTCATCTTGTCCTAATATCTAAAAGAACAGAATGTACTGTTAGTTTTAGATACTGACAGTTACATTTAGCAATCCGATCTAGATTAGTTCTCTGCAAAGTAGCTAGAAACAGATTAAGCCTATTTCAAAAGCCTCCATGTCTCAGACATAACACAAGAAGTAGATATAGCATACATATAATTAAAATAACATTTTGTGTAATTTTTTTTATTGGTGCTTCCAGAGAATGGATATCTGCTTATGCATATTTGTAAGATACCTGATCAGGTATTACAGTTATAATTTATTGTTTCCATTGATATGAGTAAAACAGAAGCCTTTCAATATATATTTTATAGGCCAGATTAGAAACAAAAACATTATTCTATTATATCCTAAGTAGATAAGTAAATTAAAACCCTCCCCGCAAGCCAAACTTGTAGTAACCATTTGCAAAATATGATACAGTTGTCATTGACAGAATTAATCCTAGAGATGATTATTTGTTATAATCTGAACTGTATGTCATTCACAAGCATTTGTACTGCTGAAGTCTACCTCAGCTGTTGTTTCTAAAGTATATGGAGTGCATACAGTTGAAATCTACAAATTTGGGTGCTTTTTGGAGAGCAGCTATTACCAGTAATTGTCACTAACTCTGTTCATGCCATAAATACTTTTGCATGCAAATAACATTCAGGAATGAACAATTTCTTGGCTCAGATTTCGTAATACACTTCAGAGACACCATCCTGGGCTTGGGAAGAGATGTGTGTGTGCAACTTGCCTTGGATATTGTGCCTCAGTCTAGAGGCATACCACTTTGTTACGTTTTCTGTAAATCTGTCTAGATGTTAAAACATTTATAAAACTGTTTCCGATAAAATATAGTTTCCATTTTGAAACATAAGTATATATATTCCTGGAATGCATGCATGAATGAATGAATGAATGAGTTCTATTTCCAATCTTATGAATAGTGAAAAGCAGAACTTTTTAACTATTACAATAGCCCTTCCACATTTCAATTATTTCATAAATCTAGATCATAATATTGTAACTCAGCATAACCCTGTGTGCCTATGAAGTAGATACTTTCTATGAAAGTATATTCTATATTTACACACACACACACACACCTTCAAAATGCCATTAAAAGTCTCTGCTTTGGGCTAAATTATTTCTCTGGAACTGAATGTCTTCTTGAAAAGATGCATCAATCAACTATTTTGATTCATGCTAATCTTGGTTTTATGCATATCTGCTAGAATCAGCTGTTTATATCTGGCCAAAGTTCTTCCTGAAATGTAATCTTTCCTTGTGACAGTTGGATTGGGGATGTTAGAAGTTGTTGGCGTTCTGGGATATTTTATTAGGTCTATTATTAATTATGGTGACAATATGATTTTATTTTTGGCTGTTGACAGTAAGAAACATTACTTGATTTTCGGTGACTAGTAGGAACTGTAGAGGTTGTGTTCTATCATTTTGGCTTATACTTTTAAGGGCATGGTGAGTTAAAATGCTGCTCAGTGTAAAATGATCCCAAAAAGATGAATGGGCTCTTTCCCCCAGACTTTGAAAATGCTTTTTAACTGCCTAACAAAAGATGATTAGCCATAGTAGCTAGTAATTCCCGCAGTTCTCAAATGATCCATTAGTGCTACTCTCTTGTCTCTTTAATTCCAGTTCTACAGCGAAGAATGAGCAACTGGAACACTGGACAGCTGGGGAAGGGGTGTCATTTGTGAAACTCTTTACAAAGGTTTCACTGTTTTCTATTATTTATAACTAATAATCTATAACTATCTACAGATAATCTATAATCTATAACTATATAAGTTAAGGTTGTTGCCTAAAACATTTATTCATTTACTATATAGTAGGTATAGCAAACCAGAAAAGGGGAATATTTTATTGTTTGGTCTCTTGGTCATCATATGTAACTTTTTATTACAAGTTATAAACTTGGAGCTGAGAATTGGGTTGATATCCAAACTCATTTGTAATGAAAAATCTTAATTTTCCATCCACATCTTGATCTTTTTTTCCAAAGCCAATAAAAGGTTTTACAACTGGTTTGGCATTTTATCTTCATTTTATCTTCACAATGAATCCTGAAAAGATTGCTGAATGCAAGGCTTCTAACTAATTAAAAAAAAATTAACAGTTTGCTATGTTGGGAGTACCTATAAATCACAGTATTCTAAACTTAGAATCTCAAGAACTTGCTCTGATTCTGTCTTTATTTTTATGGAATTAACTGAGCTTGATATTTGTAGGTGAATTATTATTATATTTCAGAATTTGATTTTTGGGACTACATTATGCTTAAGTAGACTATTTTATGCCAAGAGAACAATTTTTTGGGAATTATGAAGCAACTAGCTTTATTAATCCATATTAATTCTATGTAAGAACAGTTCAGAATCTTATTATCTCTAGGCCAGTTTTAGCTGAAGAACAAATAGTTTATTTGTACTTTATATTAGAAAATAGCATGAGAACTTGGGTTTATGAAGTTATAAATAAAGTGTATATCAAAAATGCAGTCATTTTAAATTTTAAAAAGATTTAGTCATTCTATTCTTGTTGCCCATGAGTTAATTTGACACTGATGATTATACTAAAATGTGGTGATTCCTACCAGCTCATTATAAGACAAACCAACTTTGTAGGGTCTGTCATATAGTGATTTTGAACTAGCACATCACTCAGATTCTCTTTCCATTGAACTCTGATGCCAGAGCAAACTCTGTGAATGCAGTGTCAGCTTTCCTTTTACTTAATTTGTCCCAACCAAAAAAAGAGGATTATTGTATATATCTTTTCATCTCCCTGCTCCCTGATGTGTAGGAAAAGGTAATTTTCTCATGCTTGAAATGATAAGAACATTTAACTGAACTTACCTTAATAGAAAACAATTTGGCTAGTAGAGCTAAAGGAAACAATATGAGTTAAGAACAACAACTTAAACACATTGTAATACCATTCTGTCCTGAATTACATTTTAAATCAGCTTTTCAAACATGATCTGCACCAATTGCCTTTCCTGGTCCCTCTTCCATACCATACCATGTAGAGAGCAGGCTAAGGAATATTCCCCAAATTGTTATACTACAGTCACAAGCATGTAGTTAACTCAGAGGCAATTGCTCTTGTTCTTGCATGTCAAGTTAAAGCAGAAGTAATTACAGGAGAAGAAAAATGTTTATCTTAGTGCACAAATTATTCTTTTAATATGCAAGTCTGGTTTTTATTCCTATGTTATAAATTACAGTTCCTGTTTATGGTCATTGTCTAAATTGCTCTCAGTTTGCGGTGGAAAATTCTGCATTTCACACAGATCTAAACATTAAATATGGGCTGTGTTTTGCAATAAGTTATAGCCATTTGCAGAACACCACCAAACATGGTATAAAGGCTAGCTTTTTCATAAAGCTAGATGGGGAGAAGAAAAAACCTATTGAGGTTGCTGTGGGAGTAGGTTTCTTTTTCCTATTGCTGTTGCCATTGTTTTAACTGAGTGGTATTTTATCAGATTTGTATTTTATAGGGATTTAAAATCTGTTTTTATACTATGCATATTGACTCTGCTGCCTCAAGATAATGCATTTTTAAAATAAATAGTTTTGCATTGTATTCCCTAAGTTTACTGCTACTATGACAACAACAAGCATCTGAAATAGATAGCTTGGAAGCACCCAAAAAAATCCTTTCTGTCTTTTCTGAGGATCTTTTTGTAAGCCATTCTTGCTCAGTAGTGCTGTAAGGATGAAGTTTGAAACATAAGCTTCAATGGAGTGATCATAGTTGAGTGTAGACCATGTGCTTCATGCAAACCTCTATAGGTTTAATATTTGCATCTTCAATTAAAAAGATCTTATGCAGAGTAGGACCTCTGCTGGAGATAAATAATTTACAGTTTTCTCATTAACTGTGGATTTCTTGAATAAAAGAAATCAAAGTGAACTGGACCTAATTTTAATTAACAGACATTTATTGTTAAAAGTGAGGTAGAAAATATTGCAATCTGTTATGTAGCATATTTTTTGATTTCTGAATCTTGTGATTCTACTAATGAACCAATAGTAGGACAGACTGACATTTAATGCTTGAAAAAGTTGAAATCACCTAAACTTATTTGTGTGTAGATTACTGCAGTGTCAGATTATATTGTCAGTTGGAACCAGGGTTGTAGAGATAAGGAGGTTCTGTCAACTTTAGTTGATCTCAAAATGCTAATCAGGATCACTTAGTACTTGTGTGGGGATTCCACAGGAAATAATAGCAAATAAACAGAGAGCAAACCCCACTCGCTTTAGCACTGAAGATGTTACCTAGATGGGTAACGAAATGTCTGCAAAGAAACAACCAAGCTCAGAGAACCCCACGGACTCCACAGGAAATAATAGGGTTGTAGATTAGACTGGGAGTCAATAAACGTCTTGGAACAATGCAGTGGCAAACTATTGGATGTGTCAGTGCAATCAACACAATTTGAGCTTACTTGGAAAGCTAACTTACATTTTTTAAGCCTTTTTTAAGCCATTTTCAGCCATTTTCAGCAAGTGCTATATTCTTTATTCTTTTTCTCCTTTTTTCCCCGTTTGAAATCAGAGTTACTCCTGCTAAACTTTTAAAATAAATCAAATGCAGATCAGAATAATGAATTAAATAATTGATTTTAAAGATTTAAAGTAAAACTTTTTTTCTCAGTAAGTCCATTTATATTTCTTTTTGTCATTCTTAGGAAAGATGTCTGCTGATCGTGCTTTGAGGAAACAGCAGCAGTTGAACAATCTAATAGCTTTAGTGACGAAACTGGCTAAGCCTGGAGATGTAATTGTGGATTTTTGCAGTGGTGGGGTAATGTAGTAAAGTGCAATCTCAATTACTTTTCACATATACAAGTTGAGTAGTACACCATCAGCTTTCAGGACAGAGGCAAACAAATTGGAGGTTGATTGGCTTTCAGTGTCTCTATCAATATTTTGTTGCAATACATTGCACATAAGTATATGCAAAATGTTCCATACCTGAACTACAGGTTTCAGTATTCCATGCCCGAGATGAAGCATCCATCTCTTGGATGTTTGATCCATACATGGCTGTTTTGTTCTGAGATATAGGTTGTTCTGAGCATGGTTCTGAGCAGAAGTGGTTTGGGAATATACAGTAAGGGACCATCACCCTAAGGAACAGATGCACAGGCCAGGATATTGGCAGTGCCAATTTCTGGGGGAAGGAAGAGACTTTGAGAAGGTTGGAGGCCAGTGGAATATGATGTGCAGAGGGGGAGAAGTGCCAGGCAAAATCATTCTGGGATCCCTCCAGATTTTGTTTCTTTAAAACCCAGAATAACCAAACATTCCAGTCTTTCTTTTTCTGATGAACCATGGGTAATCCAAAATTCTTCTGCAGAACTTCTGGAATGTGTTAATTTCTTCTGAGATCAAAGTAAAGCATATTTTCCATTTCAAGCACGCCCCCCATTATAAAACAATGGCTGTGTAGAATTAAGATTTATTTCTGCATTTCTTGTCTTGAACAGGGTCATGTTGGAATTGTTCTTGCTTATATACTACCAATGTGCCAGGTAAAGTATCAATAAAATAAACGTTGGTAACCCAAAATTTGAAGTATGCAATTAGGTAAAGGTGGTTTTAGATGCTGTAGTATGTTTTTCAAGCACCTATTCACCTTTTTCTGGATAATTTTCCTAACTTATCATAATGTACTGTCTTTCAATGATAACATTCTCCAAGTTTGTAGAAAATTATTTCTAGGAAAAACTCATCTTCCTATGAAAGACATTCAGTCATAAGGGCAGTGTCCTAATTATGTTTTCAGCTGCCTACATTTTTTTAATCACACAAAATAATAGTATTTGGGAAAACATATATTTTATTCCCCCACTTCACTGTTCCCATTTAAAGTAACTCCTATAGATAGTGAACGAAAAAGACAAAATTAGTATACTCAGGCCCAAAGCAAAGTTAACATTTAGGTTAGACTAAATATAACAGATTTTATCCACAAAGGTTCAGTTGATTGTGGCAAGGTATCATTGTAATAATTAATTAGAAATATTAGAACAAGCCTCAGAAGATTCTTTTATAGAACTTTGGGGATCCAAGTCAGTCCCCTCACAACCTGAAACAGCTCAACAGTCTATGAACTTGCAGATACAATATGCCCAGCAAAATACTGCTTCCTTGTGTTGTCCCTGAAATGAGCTTGACCGCCTGGCATGCAAATAGCCAATCAGCACACACCAGGAGTAGAAAAATTGGAAAAGTTTATTCTGCGCAGAAGAAAGGTGCAGGTGGGATATCTCCGAAAAGCATGCACAAACAGTTAATGGGATAGGGGTGTTTATATACAATTTTACATACAGTTTCTACATACAACTTCAACAATAGTCACAAGACTGAAGAAGTTACAAGTCATTCATACATCAATAAGCTTCAAGATATGCCTCCCTCTATAATGTTCCTTTGCTATCTTACAGAGACTACAAGTTACTGTTTCAACAAGGACATTCCCTCCTTGCACACACACATGTTGTTTTGCTTCTGGCAATAGGGGAAAATCCTTGGCAAGGCAAAATAGTGCACTGAAGGTGTTACCTAGCTGGGTAATGAAATGTTTGCAAGAGAACAGCCAAGTGCAGAGAACTCCAAGGACTCCACAGTTCAACCCTGAGCTACACATTTTCTCTTCTATTTATCAAAAAGTGTGTGACCACTCAACCCACTGCAGCACAACCAACACAAGCTATGAAAAGGATAACACTACCATACATCAGAAACATCTCAGAAACAATCAACAGACTATTACAACCACATGGCATCACCGTAGCACACAAGCCAACTAAAGCCCTCGAAAACATCTTAAGTAAGCCAAAAGATCCAGTAGCCCAAGAAGAAAAAACAAGAGTTATCTACAACATACAGTATAAGGATTGTAAAGCCATTATGTAGGACAGACAGGCAAAAGACTAGCAGAGTGCATCCATGAACATCAGTTAGCAGTCAGAAGACACAAAAACTCCTTAATCTCACAACATATGGACAGACTCAACCACAATTTCAGTTGGCAAACTCTGAGCATCCTAAATCAAGCCAAATACAAAAACACTAGGGAATTCCTGGAAGCTTGGCTTTCAGACAAATCAGCCATTAATAGACACATAGAAATAAACCATTTTTACACACCATTCAAAAGAGACAACAAAAAGCTAAGGAGGAAACATCCCCTCCAGCAGCCAACACCCAGATAAGCAGGATTAACACCAGATAATCAAGCAGAAAACAATACCCTAATCAAGGAACTACCAAGGAGAAAAGCACGCCCCCATCAACACTGGCAAGGCAAACTACTGTATATAAACACGGAACAAACCCCACACCCATTAGCACTGATGATGTTACCTAGTTGAGTAATGAAATGTCTGCAAACAAACAACCAAGTTCAGAGAGCACCAAGGACTCCACATTGCTATCAGTACTGCTTATACAATTATTGTTCAATATCACATGAGAGTGTATTCTACATGATACTTGTAAAACTTTTAAATAAATTATATAAATCTAATAAATTAAAAAAGCTAAATGCAATTTGCTTGAATGTGTTTTAGCTTAAGCCCATTATAAAACTTAGCATAATCTCAAAGCTGTTGGTGCACTGGAAGTTTTGATTCCAGTTTAATTTTTTGAACTTTTTCTGCCCAGTAATGGAAAACATGTAATAGTTTTGTAAAAGTGTAAAAAATTCAGTTTTTTAAAAACCGAATCTCTGTTTTTCTCCAATCTCGTCAAATGTAGAAGTTTTATCTGAGAAATACTGTGATGTAGTTACTGTCTCATAGTAGTAGAAGTGTGCTTCTCTGTGAGCAATATGTCTCTGTCGTAAGCCTCAGAAATATTTTCCCTGGGAAATCTGAGTCGATCATGCTGAAGCCTACAAGTGAACCTGAAAAAACAGGCTTTTTTCCAAATGCTTGAAAATGAACCAAAGAGGTCTGCTTGCAAATTCTTTTGGGTACTGCAGTTGCAAAGTTCTGCAAAATGTGAAAATGATAACTGGGCTCATCTGGTATAAATGTGGTCATGTATGCTTGATATGAGAGACAGCGCATATAATAATTAGCAAACATCTACTTTTTGTTTTTACAAGCTAACTGGATAAAAACACTGTAGAATTGGCACATATACTGTGGTTATTACAGCGGTCTTGTATGGTACTGCACAGTAGTAATTGCACACAAGAATGGATGCTAAGTTGTGAGAACTGTAACACAAATTTTCCTCAACACTTTGACCCTGGGAAATACACTGTTCTTTTTGAACTGGAGCAGCCACAGACATGGTTATATTGCTGTATCAGTGTCAGGTTAGAAACTCCATTCTCTAAAATTAGTATAATTTTTAACTATGAAAAAAGTGACATTTTAGTTTAATGATATATCTGATTTCTGTGGCACGCTCAAAATAATGTATTTTTAAAAAACTAAAAATTCAGGTCAAGTTTAATTGCATTTTATTTATGTCTATAATGGAAACATTTCTGTTCAAGGAAAACTTTGTGCATGTGCTTCAGTCTTATGATTGTAAGATGTATGTGTTGTTTTTTAATCCAGAAGTTGAGCAGGATTATTTTTTTTCTTTTTTAATATAGATAGTACTAGTGGAAAATAAAGAACAGTCACTTATATGTGCTGAAAAGAGAAGTGATGAACTAGGATTACATAATATTTGGTTCATCCAAGCAAATATGGACAATTTTAAAGGAAATTTTAATATTGGGGTAAGTGATTTTAGCACTGTAACTGTGACCTTTTTTGTGTTTGAAAACCAAAGATACTATCTTAAAACAATGTTTATTTAGAAAAAATACAAATTACTTTTCCACAATACCTGGGAGTTTTGATTTTATTAAACTTGCAATAATGAAAATTCAAAAATGTGAGAATTTCAGATTCAAAATTCAGAAAGGAGCTATTAACAAATTGTTGGTTCTCCACATTATTCTCATTGTACAGAGCTATTTCTCTGCTGCTGTAGATGGCTAAAGAGCTCTTAAACTATTAAAGCTGATTAAAACTGCAATTGTAGCATGGCAAATGAATAGTAATAATAATGCTGTATTTGGAGTTGGTTGATACTGTAGTGAGTTGAAGACCAAATTATTTTTTTTCCTTATAAATTTTACATGATTTAGTATTTGAGGTAAAGCAACTTGACTAGGAGCAGCAAAGAAGTACGTTAAGAGTTTGTTCAAATATAAAGCAAGTTCTTTGTAAAGCATAATTAAAGCATTGAGAATCATATATGGGTCAGAATATACTTTTTCCTTTTGAGCATAAATTCTTTGTCCTTTCTTTGTCTTAACTATTGTTAAGTGCTTTTTAGCAATATAGTTAACCTTGGATAATGATAACTGGCTTATTCTTAACCAGGGTTCCACATTGTCTTCAGATCCCAGTTAAAAATAAGACCTAGTTAAACATTAACTGTTATTAGTGGTGGAGCGAGCATAACTTTAGCTATTAAGGAGTTTGGAGGAGGGCATAAAAGAATTAGTCCTTAGAAAGAAGAGTTGCTGAGTAATTGCACCAAGGGCTCAGTTGCCTTAAGTATTGCATTGAACTAATACATAATCTCTGCTTGCAAATAAATCCCATCTAGACTTGTTCCAAGTAAGAGAAAATGAAATTATAGTAGCAGAGTTAGAAGAGAGAGATCAGTAGCCTAGATGCTTGAATAAAGAAATAGAAAGTAGTACAAAACATAAGAGATCTCCAGCAACCAACTGCAGAATTCGGAGGCAATGCATATAAGTATAATTAATTGCACATTAACAAACAATGTAGAAAAAAATTAATGGAACAGATGAACCAAAGAGCATCTTATGTGATTAGAAATGATTTCAGAAACTTAAAATGAGTATTGGAAAAGGTCATGAGATACTCAAGTTATATCATGTCATAATACACATGCTCTGGATATTGTTGAATATAGGTAGTCACTGGCTTACGTCCATTCGTTCAGCGACCGTTCAAAGTTATGGCAGCGCTGAAAAAATAGACGTACGACTGGTCCTTGAAGTTCCAGCCATCGCAGCACTCCTGCAGTCAGATCATCGCAGTCCGGACGCTCAGGTGTCCGACTTGCGATTACAATGTTGCAGGAGCTGCCGTCGTGATCGCTATTTGTGACCTTCCATGCCAGCTTTCCACAAGCATTCAATGGGGAAGCCAGCAGGGAAGGTCGCAAGTTGCTCCAGTAAGTCATTCCCGCTTTTTCTCCCACCTGCAGCACCCTCCCCCCGCCCATGTGCACCCTCTGCAGGCCCTCCCCTGGCCTCCCGTATGGCCTGCGCTGGCCCTCCGAGGCTCTCCTGCGACTTGGTCACAGCCTGCACCACCCCTCCCATGCCCTCCCTTGGCCTCCGCCACTCCCCTGCAGCACCCCCGTGCTCTTAACTGGGACACCCCCCTCTTCCCACTTAACATGACTTGAGGTTATGACAGCAACCAGGACTGCCCCGGGATTGCCACTGCTAAGCAATGTGGCCATGTGACATTGTGCTTTATGACCACATTGCTTAGCAAAAACAATCCCAGTCACAATTGCCGTTGTAACTCAGGAACTACCTGTATGAGACTCTTGCTACAAATTAATTGAAATGTAATTTGTAAACTGGGATAGCATAGTATAGACTTCAGGGAGGGGTTTTTTTTCATGCTATCTTGGGTTGATCAGCCAAACCTGAGCATTCTTTAAAGACTGTATCATTATCAGGTTTAAAGAAATAGGTTTATTTTGTTAATTTGTAGAATTCTGGTCAATGACCAGAATAAAGACTACTTCATGTTGGCTTGATAGCTCTTTCATTATTTAATTTGAGTTAATATTAAAATTTATTCTTGTGTCAACTTCTGTAACATTTTCTTTTTTTTTTTTATCTAAGTATGAATAATAAAAATAATCACAATTAATGAGAACTGATGTTCCAGTAGATAACTCAGCTGTTCAGAAAATGGCATAGCAATGATTGGTTCCTCAATGAACGCACAGTATTCATTATATGCTTTCACTCATGGAAACATTTATCACTGACAAAAGAGAGGCTCTTCCCTCTCTTACTCAGTGCACCCTCCAAATATGCTCAGTAGGAGTCCACAGTTTTCAGAGTTTGTAGACGTGTTTAGTAAAGATGCATAGAAAGCCTTTATTTCCAATGTAAATTTGCTAGTGGAACAGTAAATTCCACTCATATTTAGTTCTTTTACTTTTCCAGGTGGCATTGCATGCTTGCGGAGTGGCAACAGACATGGTTATTGAACATTGTATCAAAGTTGGTGCAGCATTTGTTATTTCTCCTTGCTGTTATGGCTTCATACAGAATACATCCAAGTTTGCATTTCCACGAAGGTCAGTTGCTTTTCCAACATGTTTTGAGAGGAACCTTGTTAAAATCTATAGAGTTTAACTCAACATTTGAAACTACACTTTGGATACATGAGGGTGCACTGGTAGAAGCTGTCTCACATAAGAAAAACAGCAAGTCAAGCATTATATTTAACAGCTGGCATTTTAAAATGTTTAAAGTTGCTTACAAATGATATCAAACTATTTCAGATTGTGTTACTCAAAAAAAATAGAGGCTACTAGTGCTATGTTCTGTAGAAAAGGAATATGCAGTCTCAATTCACAGAATCCAGAAACATACAATTGGAAAGAGCCATTTTGTTTATAAAATCCAACCCCCTGCTCAGTGGAGGAATCCTTATTAAAGCATCCCCTGATGGATGACTATCTGGCTTCCACTTGAACACATCCAGTGGAGCTCACTGGTCTTACTCTTGAGAAGCCTTTTTCTGACTTTCAGTTGGATTCTACCTTCCTGTAACTTAAATCTCTTCATCTGGGTCCTGCAGTTAGAACCAGCAGAACAGGTCTTGTCTGTCTGCATGATGTCCTTTCAAGTTTATGAAGAGTGCAGGCTACCCTTCCACTCTCTTCTCAAAACTAAACAGGCCCAGTTTCTCCTAAGTCTCATAGGAGTCTTAGAAGATCCCTGTTCATCCTTGTTCTCTTCTCAGAGCCCATTTGTTCTAATCCTTCTTAAAATATGATGCCTAGAACTAGGTACAATATTTAAAATGTGGTTTGACCACTGTAGGATAAAGTAGAATATTCCTTCCTTTTATTTGGAAACTCTACTTCTGTTGAGGCAGCCTAAATGCCTTGCCCTTTTTATTGCAGCCACATCACACTGCTTACTTGCAGTCCAATTATTTTCAACTATTGTTCCAAGATGTTTTCCACAGGCAGTGTTACCAGTGAGGTATCTCCCATTTGATTACGCTAAGCTTTAATTTCCCTTAAAATTAAGAGCTCCAACATTATGTGGTCAACTTCTTCCTGTGTTCCTCCTACTGTACTTCCTGCAAAGTTTTCCCTGTTGATTAGTATGAAGTTAAGGCAGCTTTCCTCCCTCTGAAGAAGAAAACTGTTAGTAAGACAAGTCAGGAATTTCCTGGAAGGACCATGTTTGGCAGACTTTGTCTCCCAACAGATGTCTGGATGGTTGAAATCTCACAGTACTATTACTCTTTGAAAGATTTGCAGATTTATTTTAAAAGGCATCATCCACATTTTCTCCTTGAATGGGTAGACAACAGGAGACACCAAGAACAGTAATGCTTTTATTTGTTCTTCCACTTATTTTAACCCAGATGCTCTCTAGAGCATTGCCAAGTTCATTCACTTGGATTTCTGAGCAGGAACAGAATGTAGTGCATAAATATTTATTTGAACTATTTACTTCAATATTCACATCTTTAACCCACCCCCCAGGAGTCAGTTTAAAGCTCTTCTGATCAAACTTCCTATGCCAAGCAATTTTTTACCAGTTCTTGTAAGTTATTAGCTATCTTGTACCATCAGTCCATTATTTAGATAATTCAGATTATGGTCCCAAATATCTTTTCTTTCCCTGTTAACACCATTTGCATAGCTAGTTATTCACTTGCGGTTTTCTAATTTTCCTTTCCAGACTCTTCTATTGCAATCTCTGGAGAATGTATTCTTGCAGATGTTATCATGCATGTATATCTATGGCAAGATAAGGCAATAAGTGCAACTAGGCTAAAATATTCCCATTTATTCAGGAACACTTCCAAACTAAGATTTTAAGAGTGCAACGTTATTCAAAACAAACTGAACTACTAATCTGTTTTCAGAGCAGGATAGCGTAGTAAATAAAGAATATTCTGGAAGTTTTCTCTCTCATATTATGTGCAATAACATAATCATAGTACTGGATTAAGAATTTGTTTAGCATTTAAAATAAGAAGTGGCTATCACAAATGAAATAAACTCAGCATATTAAAAACTTACTCAGATGAATAAAATTACCTTGGCTACTTCTGTATTCTGCTAAATCTCTGTTTTAAAATGTTTCTCATGATGATTAAATTCATTTTCTATTATAGCCATCAGTTCAAGAAAGTGCTGTCATACAAGGTAAGGAAAAGATAGGCTTTGGGCTTAGAATTTTTTTCTGCATATCTTTCCTGTTTAGTTTTGTTTCACTGTAAAAGAAATATTCCATTAAAATATATCAGAATAGCAAAACTTTAACATGCATAATGTCCTTTTTTCCTTTTAATATTGGAAAAAACATTTAGTAAATATAAATTTATTTTAATTTAATTTTTATCTTGTTTTTAAAATCCAAGAATCCCTAAGGAAGGTCATAAAGTGGAATTTAAAACATCTATTAATAATTTAAAATATGGGCCATAAAAAAAACTGAATTCCAGTATAAAAAACCATATTCATCCGTCAACTCTACATACAAAGAATAGCTGTCAAATTGGAGGTTTCTTTCTAGTGCCTCCTACAGTATCTTAAATATGCCTGGAGGCAGTTTGACCCCACCCAGTAGTATTATGCCAGATACAGATCTGTGCATCTTTGAAACAGTTTCCTGTTTTAACAACCATTCTGTTTCCATATGGTTTTGCTATTTCCCTCCTTGCCTTCTGTCCAGATTCAGATTGGACATTGCTAGTTTCTTAACACTACAGTATTTTGAATTATACTCCAAGTTTTATTTAAAGAGTTGAATATAACATGTTAGTGAATAGTTTAAAAGTTTCTAAATGAAAATATATTTTAAAAGGCTAATACATGCTACTGCTTAAATCAATAATTCATACGGAATATGAATTTCTTTAATCACAACTAAGGAGGTAAGCATAGGATTAAATATTTTCATATAATTTATCGAATCTGTTCTGAACACTTATCTAGATGAAACCACTTAAAAGGCATTTCACTGCCAAAGATATTTTGTATATATATTCATTGCAATGGTAATATCCCAACCTTTGGACCATGTTCTAAAATACAAAAATTAAAATATGTAAAGAACTACATTCTACCTTTATTTTGGTGTATTGTCAACATTTTACTTCATATCTGTTTGGACTGGAAATATTAAACCAGTGAAAAAATAAAACATTACTAATGTGCATTTTAAACTTTTTTTTTCTATCATGGGTGCAATATATTTTCCAACCTCTTCATGAATTTCTGAAAATTCTTCTTTCATTGAATTTATTGAACATTGGAATTATAAAAAAATAACAAATTCAGAAGTTAAGAAGATGTATCGTATTGAAACATCACAGGTTAAGAAGCAGATTGTTTTCATAAATGTGCAGCCATTTTTTTTAAAAAAAGGACATTTGTGCCAGAAAGACATTCTAATATCAATCCAATTTATTAGTAGCATTTTATGTGAATCTATACCAGATGGTGTCCCAATTCCAAGTTTATATCTGTATAACTTGGTTGTATCAGCACTAATGAGAACCCTTCTGTATTGGATTGATATGTTTTCAATTATTCACCAGAAGCCAAAGTAGTGGCTAGACACTGTCACACTCTCCATAGTTTATCCCAACCTTGTATTTTGTTTTTCATTTATCAAATAAAACTAGAACCATTGTGGGGACTAGATATTTTTTTTTCAAAATGGCAGTAGCAACAACCCATAGTGAAGAACCAAGTGATTGTTGGTCACTGAGATTATTTGTAGTTGCTATTCTTTTCTTATAGAAAATTCCTTGTATTACTAAATAAAGTTACTTAAATATTAAATTCACACATATGTAATATAGAACAATGCATTTATAAAAAAGGAGGAGCAAGGGCAAAATAGTGGGATGATTAACCATTAATCTGCCAACTTTTCCACTTACAGGCCTCTTTTTCAGAAAAAGTGGCCTTTCTGTTTGCATTGAAAGTAATGCAACATTTGACTCATATCTTAAGATATATGCTAGGAAATAGAGGCACGCAACCAGTTTTTCTACACTTAGAGCATGAGCTATGTGATATCATTTATGTATGTATGCAAAGGGTACCAGAGAAGTTAGGGAAACCTGTTGTGCAAGTTAATAAGATTATTTGGTCTCATTAAGGAGAAAAATATGCAGACAACAATTTTTTTTTTCATGAATAGCAATTCTCAGTTTAAAAAACTAGTTTTCTCGCTTAAGCTGATGTTCCCTAAGAGGCAGCACTTTACACACATAAACCCATAAACATGTCTAAGGAGGCTTTATTCCAATTGTGTCACTTTTTTTAAATATTACATTTATCTTTTGCTTCCCAGATATTTAGAATCCAAAATACCTAGTTAGTGTTATTTCTGCCAGTGGTAGGAAAACCATCCTTTGTTTTGAAATTATATACTGTTAAATAAACATACAAACAAAAATACTGTGATTTAAAATCAGGATATGTATACGTAGTTCCAGTACTTTTTCCTCTTAATTTATTGGTTTCCAACTCTATCTGTGTCGGAGTCTCAGGGCCAGTACTTTGTATCTAAATCAATATAGCTTCAAGCAGTGTAATTTTGAGAACAAAGTCAGGTGTTCTATAAAATAAAACATTCTTTGTTGAAAAAACAAAAATAATACATATGTTATTCTTACTCATTTGGAAGAAATTGTTTTTTCCAAATGAAATTGTTTAAATGCTATATATTTTGTGTCCTTGTATTTATCTTCATCTAATGTTACAGGCAGTTCTGTCAGGACTTAAGTTCTGAAATGATTACGATTATGGTGACTTGGCAATTGAAATTTCAGCTGTCCTAGCTAACGCAGCTGTCAGGAAAAATACTGTCATGGCTTTTTTCACCTTTTTCCGCCTATAGAAAGTATAACCACCTCTAAGGTCTTCTCTGCAGGAAGCATGTTATGCTCAATGTATTCAGTCAATTACAGCATGTGACTGACATTAATCAATCTCAGTTCACAGAATATAGAGGTGGAGTTTAATAGCCAGACTCCATAGTCTTTTGTACAAATCAAAAGTTCAAAAGCTCATGGTATAAAAGCACAATGTTGTGAATTCATCTGTGTGTCCTGTGCACAATCTTAGAGTAGCATGCCTATCCAAGAGTCAAGAATAATGGAGTAGAAGGCACAAAATAGTAACACAGAATGCATTACAAAAGGACTAAATTCATTTAATGCTTTAAAATTAAATGAAAGAGGCAAATATAGTCAGGGAAATGTTTCTTGAAGAAACCCTTCCCTTTTCCAAAGAGTATTTGCCAGTAGAGAAATCCTACGGCTTTCATTTGTGGTTATAGCGGCTGTGCCCGATTTTGACTGAGTCAGAGGAACATTTGGTTAACTTGCCCTTGCGCTCCTTTCATTGGCTTTCAGAATTAATGACAAGAGTATCATCCAGAATCTGCTGATATAATGTTTCATAGAAATACAGATAGACCTACTTTTCTGGATACTCCTATTAAAATAGTTATTTTTGTAGAGTAAAAAATGTCCGTAACATCTTGTGTGTGTGTGTGTTTTTATTCTAGGAGCACATGATTCTTTGCAGATTTGCTGATCAGACAGCTGTCCAGCTGCCCCCTGAACGCAGGCAAATAGGTATGCTTTTCTATAGAGCAGCTGTTGTGGAGATTACATACACTGTATTTGGTGATGTGCTTAGCTTACTATTAATGGGTAGTTGTGGCATGTTTATCAACAAGGAGTTATAATAGTGCATCTCTGATTCCAATCTCCTGTCAACCATGAAGAATCTTGGGAACGCTGCTATTCTAGCAGCCTTGGCCTTGCAGATGCAGGTTTCATTAAGAGTCACACTAGTTCTGTCTCCCTGTCTCTCTCTGCAAAATCTGTTTCCTGATTTTTGTGATCGATGTAAAATGGGTGTTATCTGTGAAACTGGTTTTCTTGCAATAATCTCACACTCAACCACAGTCCATTCTTTGTGCTAAGTGCTTATATCGTCAAACAACTTTCACAATTTAATTATGTATAATAAATATGTGGATAGATATCCAAGGTGGTCAATGAATCATAAAAACAAGCAATAAGTCTGGAAATCATATTATCAAAATCAATAAATAGGTCATAAAACATAGCACTATAAAGTATTAAAAAGAATGAAATGCGACATAATTTACAATAACAATTTAAAGAGAAGTAGGCTATCCAACTTGGATAGAACAGACATTATTAGGCTCACTGGTAAGATCTCAGCAGTTTTCCAAGTACTTGACAGCATGGCTTGACCAGGCTCTAGGTTCATCCTTAGTTTAAGTCTTTCAGACACATAACGGGCACAGCTAGTTAGGAATCTTTATTGCATACCAGTAAGAACTCACTAATGGTTGATGGCTGTCTGTTAGCATGAAGGTGCAGTTCCCTATTTATCCCCACTCTAATTCTAGTATCTCTTTCTCCCATCTTTCACATTCTGTAACAAACTTTTTGTCCTGTGCCTATTAGCCTTAAAGCTTGGTGATTGGTTTTTACCAAAGCTGATTCTTCTGCCCTGAGAAACTCTGGCTGTTGACTAAATTCCTAACACTGATTTATTTTACTGTTTTTCAAACTCTTCTACAGATTTGGGGAGGGGCTTCATTCTTACTAATTTTACATTCTAGTCATTATTAAATATCTTAGGGAACTACAAATATTTGAAGTAAAATATTTGGGATAAGTAAGGGAAAAATCTGTCTGTCTATCTATCTATCTATCTATCTATCTATCTATCTATCTATCTTTCTTTCTTTCTTTCTATCTGGTTGCTAAGAGTCAACAATGACTTGATGGCACATAATTAATCAGGAGAAAAAAATGAGGATGGATATTGGTGAAAGTTTTAGTTACAGGCTATATCACAGAAGTATTAACAATAAATAAAGTGCTTCTAAACACCTGCATATAATATTCAGTCTCTGTGGTTAAGAGTACATGAGGTAATGCTAAGGATAAGATATTCTAACCTTTTGTATCTCTCAGTAAATCTGGCAGACCTTTAAAGCAATCCCAATATTTGTTAGCAAATTATGCTGTTATCATCACAGCTGTGAATTTGAAAGGTGTCATTCACCAGGTGGGAGTGAGCCTTTTTCCAGTACTTTGGTGATACAGAAAGGAAATGTGTCACATAAGGAAGGGTAGAATGGGTGGGTCTTTGTGCGCTTTTAAATGTTGATTCAGCATTTCAGGCAGTTCTTTTTCCCTTCAAGGATAAAATAGGGAAAGCAGAAATTTCTGAACCTCAAACATCTTCTTTCCCTCCCTCTCTACCTTTTGTGTTCTTCTTCTTTTCTTGTTAGTACTGAAGTTATACTTGACATTAGGCTGATCCACTCCATTAAAAGTCTTTTCTATTTCAGTCATCTTTCTTCACCTTTTAAACTTGCAAATGGGTGTGTGGTTTTATTTTCAGATGACTGGGGGGGAAAGGTCAGATCAGATTAGCACGAAACACATGTTCCCTAAAAACAGGCACTGAAATGCGCTGGGGCGCAGTTAAGCTGTAATCTTGACTAGCCTTACCTGAAAGTAGTGCTTTCTGAACCAGTGGAACTTACTTTTGAATATTTACCATTGAATGCTTAGGACTGTGCTGTCAACATTCTCCCTTTGTTCTCAGTAAGACCTTTGTTCCATTTTCAACCTAAATTACTGTTTCAAACAAAATGATACATTTTCTTTTTGCTACTCCTCTATTATTTCTACTTTCTCAGCCTCTTAACAACATACAAATAATTTCTATACTATTCTGTCTCTGGATATAACTGTTACAGGGATTTATTTTATGTATTTACATAATATAATCAAGGTAGTCACTAGACATATAAAATTGGTAGATGTCTAAAATTTTATTTTCACCTAACATTGATTATGAAGTAGCATACAGTGTTATTAGTATTGTTGCTATTATTATTATATCTTGCCTTTCCTCCAATTTCCTTCCAACTATAACTCTATAGGACAGGTTGGGATGAGAGATAGTTGCTGGCCCAAGTTAACCAGTAAGCTTCTATGATTGTGGGAGATCTGGAGCTTGGGTCTCCCCAGTCCTAGTCTAACACCTTAACTGTCTGTCAGCATAGCAGGTACAGTAGCATTTAGATTGTTTTAACTGCCTGTAAATTCCTATGGAGTCTGGGCCTAGAATACCAGAGACAGCAATATTCCTACATGAATCCTCTCATAAAGATTATTATAATTTAATTGCTGTCAAAATGCTCATTTCTATATCACATTATCATATATATATATCATATACATACATACATACTCTGTTCATATATTTTAGGTAAACAATGCATGGGATTGGTGGACCTTGACCGGGCTTGGAGTGTGGAAAGAAGCAACTACTCAGTCCAAGTGATAACCATGGAACCACAGTCATGTTCCCCAAAGAATAATTTGATAACTGGTGTCCCAGTTTAGTTCAAAGGTTTTTCTATCAAGTTGAATTAATACTTAGCTCTCTTGATCAAAGGACAGTAACATTTTGGAGACTGGAAAGGAGACACTGTACATCTTGAATCAGTTGTCTCCAGAAAAAGGAAGGAAAGGCAGTGGGGGCTATCTTGCAAAGCTTCCTAATTCCTGCTTGAAATGTGTGATTAAATGACAGCTGGCTCTCCCAAAATTTTCATCTGTCTCCCATTATGACAGCAACCAATAAATTCTGGAAAAATGATTTCCTTTTCTGTGAAAATTGGTCTTGCATGTTGGGAAATATATTTTGCAAGTGTTTTGGGCTTATCAATATTCAACTAGAGAACAAATCACAGTATCTTATTTTCAAAATCTTACAATTATATCTTCTCTGCTCGGTAATAACTATATTACTGTAGGTGCGAAGTATCATTTTGGTCAAATGTTTTAATCTTTTTTTTCTTAGAAAAGTATATTCTAAATAAAAAAAATCTCACAACTTCTGATCACTGTGTGGTCAACTTCGATGTAGTTTTTGCAATTTCCCAGTCTAGCCTAGAGTCTTCAATATTTCTGGTAGTCTCCCATTAAAGTACTAACCAGGTCCAATTTTCCTTAGCTTTTTTCAAGATAGCCAAGGTCATCTAGGGAATGCTTCAGGTCAAATTATGTACTGTATTTACAGTATGTAATTTACAGGTAGATTCATGCATTAACTTTGATGACTGTCCTTTGTAGGACAAAGCGAATTTGCAATACATTCTTTAAATGTGTATATGTGCATTTACCTTTTTTTGCTGCAACTCTTCTCTTTCTTCCTTCAGTTTTTTTTCCCTGTGAGGATTAAGCTCCATACTTTCCATTGGGAACATGAATGTGGGGGAGGAAGAGGACACAGAAAAGAAAACTACTGTGGGAAGGACAGTTGCAGCAGAAAAAAACCCACATGCCTCTACTTCATTTTTTTTTCTCCCTTTTCTCTAGGGGAACTCATTGTTTGTATTTTGAGATATGCGGTCATGTGTGAGTTATAGTTTGGTCCCCCTCAAAAAACACTGAAATAGCGCTGCTTTTCCTTTTCCTTTTTTCAGGCTTTAATTTGTTTCAGCTCATTTTTTAAAACTCATTTTAACTTATGTTGTCATTAGTCATTCAGATAGATTCCTCAGAAGGTAAAGTAGTATAACCAAATACAAAACACTCTTCAAACTATTACAGTGTTTTGGTTTGGTTTTGTTTACCGAAGCAATGAACTGTAAACCTCCTCCAAAATTAATTCATTTGAGTAGACTCAGTTGCTCCTACAGCAATGTCAGGGCTGGATAAAATATTCAAAATTCTTATCCTCTACAGAGCTCAGAAATCTCTAATATTTCAGGCTAGATTTTGTTTCTTCTCTCATATTTCTTGCCTGAAAAATTAAAGATTTCTTACACTTAATCAAAGAGAGAGCAATATGTTTAATAATTCTGTTAAGAAACATTTTGTTTTGAGTGGTTTTTGTACCTGTTTAGTATTTTGATGGTATAACCTATCAGCATATTTTTTTTCTTGTTATCTTTCTGTTGTGTTAACTTTTTTATATCAGTATAATGTATTTTTGAGACTATTTTTATTGTATTCTTTCAATAGGAAATGTATACAGAACATTTAAGATGGTCCATTTCACATTTAATGATAGTTTTTGCTTTTATTACTTTGTACTGCATATTTAAGACAGTCCCAAGGCAATTTGTTCACACTTCATTCCTGTGAGGGCAAAAGGAAGGAAAACCCACATGTATGCAGCCTTGAACTTCCAGAAGAAAGTCAGAACAAATCTACAAGGAAATATCTCTGGTATTACCATTCTGTTTCATTACCAAAGCATTAAGTGACAAAGGTGTGAATACAGTATTATAAAACTGATGGCTGTAGAAAGAAGTTTGATACGTAATTACTGAAATCAGCTTTTTTTTTTTTTTTACTCTAAAAGCTTATTATCCAAAACAACTCACACATCAGAATGAAAAAAAATGCTGGAATTTGGTAGCAGTTGGAAACCCTGAAAAGTACCAAGTCAATGTGTTCGCTGTTTACCTACGCAGTGGAAGAAAGAGAGAGAAGCAGATGGCTAAGCAAAAGGGCTCAATGATATTTTATGAGCTTATGAATGAAGTTTCATAAGTGACAAATCTGCTATCCAGATCATGGTTGGAGAAAATCAGATCTAGAAGCACTCTGGAAGTTCCTCAGTAGATATGGGAGAATATCTTGCACATTGGCCACACCACAGTACTACAAGATGAAAAAATCAGATGCTTTTTTGTGGATACCTCATATAACAAATATTTATTTAACATTTATTTATTTAACAATAATCTGCCCCAATTCAAATGCAATAAAAATTACAGATAATAAAAATCAATAAAAATCTAACACATCATAGGCACCGTTCAATTAAACTATAATAAAGGGTAAATGCCTGTTGGAACAACACTCTTTGCTTAGTTTTAGAGATGTCTGTAGAGTAGAGGCTGCCTGTACTTACGAGGTGGGGGGGGTGCTTGATAAAAATAGGACCGCCTCTGGGAAGGTCTGTTACTTGGTCTCTGTCCCAAAAACTTCACGAGGAGGAGTGGATACCTCCTCCTCACTAGATGACCAGACAAGATGAGCAGATTTGATTTTGGCAACTTGCAGATTTGAATTCAGTGGGAGACCTTTTAACAGATGTGTTATTTTCACATGATGGAGTTGACCTATCAGGAATCGATCTTCTACGTTTTTATAACTCTAGTTTCTGGGTTATCTTCAACAGTAGCCCCACATAACGTTCATTGCAGTAGTCCAAAGAGGTATGGTGATCAGAACATGATTACCATCACCAGTTAGGATCCTGACACAACACACGTGTTTCTGGGCAAGAAATCATCTTGCTATATTGCACTTTTTTAACGGGGCAAAAACAAATTAATTTGATATGTCAGGATTACTTCCTCTGCCTATGACAACAAATCCTCCCATATTTGTTTCTCCCTACTTAAACACATTTATTCCTGCCTGAATAAATTTCTATTTCAGTCTTAATGGTTAGAGAATGCCATTTGGGAGTGGAAATGAACATTTTCTCTAAAAGTATTATTTTGTTAATCATCTTATGCTGTCTATTACCAAGGTGAACTGATGAAAATCTATATGAAGCCATGAACATTTCAGGATGCCCATTCAGTCATTTCACCCTAATCAAACATTGTAAATATAACCTATTATTGGAATTTTTCTGTTTGACATACTCGGCATTTGTTCACCATCATGTATCAGCAACTAGAGTGGATGCTTAAATTATAACATGATTTCCCAATCTACACTACTCGTAATTTTATCTGCTCAACTGTGCTTTCTAGGTTATTTTTTTCTTTAAGATTGTAGTGTTCCAATTGGGGTTGTGGTTTAGGGTGTATTAACACAGCATTCCAGGGGTACATTTTCAAATTGGCAACTGGCTTTCAAGCATTCTTTTTTTTGCCTTCAAAAAGGTCACAGCACTTTACGTGCTTTATTTTTAGCTCCTAACTTTCATGCTGGCATAAAGTTTAGTGGTGCAAGTATGTGTTACAGAGACTGATGTGACAACCCTGTCAAATTTATCTGACAAAGGCCAAATTACAGAGTCACAGAATTCGGGCTAGGTCTCCTAATTTATTTTTCTAAAATTGCAATGCTCAATTGCTTGAATGCCATACACAAGCATGCAGATTTAACTTTTTTTAAAAAAAATAGGCATTTTCCCTAGGCCCCATGCATCCAGAGTATGGTTCAATATTGAATATTTAAGATTATCAGATGGAATGATACTTTTTTTATTAAAAGAGATTTTCAGTTTACCTATTCATTTACTTTAACTGATTTAAAAAAAAAAAAAACCTACACCAAAGAATTGCAATAAGAAGAAAGAGGAAATTGCAATAAGAGGAAAGAGGGAACATTTTCTGCCTCCCTGCCTCTTAGAGGTCCTTTGTTTATCAGCTTCCTAGAAGGTGAATTTGTTAAGAATTTTGTTGCTGAATAAGGCAGGTACATCTACTTCATTCCAATTCTGACAGTGAGGGATATTTTTAGGATAAGCAATACAAAAGGCCATACAAAATTAATCATATATCTTTCCATAGTTGTGTATCAATTTATATTTGCAATTTTTATGGCAGGCTGGACTGTAAATAAATGCCACTATGGCTTTCATGTATTTAACTATTTTCAATTCTAACATGGAGCCCAAATAAGTTGTTAAATTAATTTTTGTGTGTAACGTGCATGTCCTTTAACATGCAAATAATTGCTGTTGAAGGGCAGCAAGTTATCAAGATTGCAGCAGACAGGAAGGAGAATTTGATATTCCTGCAGCCCTGATGAAAATCACTCTTCTGAAATTTTAAGTTGTTTAACCAAAGTCTACTGGACAAAACTCACTATATTCTCTTAGTGATGTCAAGGATGATATGCACTGACACAAATCAGAAGATTGACTCAACTTTCCAGGCACTTTGGAGTCTACTTTAAGTTTTTGTTTGGGCTCATATTGTCCAAACCACAATAGCTAGTTTGGTGCAACTCTCTGTACCAAAATCAGCCAAATCACATGTCTTAGTGTGAAAAGTGAACTCGGTCATAAGTCTTCATCACTGCACATGGCAACAGTGAAAGATTTAAGGTAAGTGTGGATACCACATTAATTATTGAATTGATATCCTACTATCCTATTAACTCCAACACTCGAAGCATCTTGCAACAACTGAAGATAGAGAGTATAAAGCATGACAGTAAAATAGATCCAGATTAAAGTAAAACCAAAGTTAAATCACAAAATAAAAATTTAGAATGTAGAAAAAGAAATGTATTTTTGCCAATTGCCTAATTACTGGAAAGATGGGAACCAAATTCAGCTTCTTAGGGAGCCATTGCCACCACCTGCAAAGCCAGTGACAGCAGACTCAAAGAGTACTCCCTAACTGCACACCTGCCCCTTCTGCAAGGGCACAACTCCATCGAAAATAGCTGGCACCTCCATTGTGAATTATGCAATCGTAAGATGTGGAAACTTGCCCCTTTTAAACAGCCTTTAAAAATCTGCTTGTTTAGGCAAGGTTTTTTTTCAAGTATTAAAGAGCCTCTGGTTTTATTACTTGCAATATTACCCTTATTCCCCATTTTATCACCACCTTTAGTTAGTTTTATTGGGGCTTCTTTTTTAAAAAAAAGTTTTTAAGCTTTACAACCCTGAGAACACTTTAAAAATTACTAAAAGAGAGTCTGCCCAGCTACTGGCTGATCTAAAAGCTAAGCAGTGTTGGACCTGGTTAGTACTGGATGGGGACCCAGAAATACCAGCCATAGGCTACACTGGGAGTCACAAACCACCCCAGAAAAAAGACAGTGACAAAACTACATGATGTTTGTCCAGAGGCTGAGCTCAACTTGAAGAAGTCTTGGCTTGATGGAACTTGCTAAATTTTCAGGGCAAGAAATGGGGGCATGAAGGATAGGGATTCTCCTGTCAAAAGCAGCTGCAGGATTTGGGTGCTTTCTTTTAGAGTTCTGTCCATGACCCCATCATTGCTGCAGTTGCTCAACCCATCTGCATCTGCCTAGAAAAGTCACAGCTGCACCTCTTGACTTGAGCTCCCATTGTTCAAGAGGTGCATACTGTATGCTATTTCACTGGTTTTTATTTTATTTCAGTGGTCTTGCTTTTAATAATGTGAACTGCTTTGTATATCAGATAACTGAAAAGCAGCAGAAAATTATAGTCAGTGCAGTAAGTTAAATGAATAAATATAAAACATATGGGTAGAGGAGGGAAGTTGTAAACAGTGTGGCCAAAAGATGTGCATATGTGAAACTTGCCAGCTGAATACATTTGTTTTATCTGAGGCAATCTGGTGCACTTCAGACTTTTGGGGACTGCAATTTCAATCAATTCCAGACAGCTTAACATGGGTCTCCTCTTAGGGATCACAAGAGTTTTAGAAGAGCCCTTATTTCAGAGCTAATCTGACCATAGTAGATGTTATGGAAAGCTTGTAGGATTGTGCAGCTATTCAGATCCAAAGTAGAAAAAGCTTTGAAGGGATGTGGTTATGCTTGCTGCACCCGTAGGTACCTTTTAAAGAAACTGCACGTTTTCCTGGTCTCAGGAAGGAAAGCATTGAGTTAAAGAAGCATTAATGATAATGACATGCACCTTTTTAATACCTCCTTAGTGGAAGCATTTATTTTCCTGGGACCATGCAGCTATCATACAAGCCCAAGGAAAGGCATGAGCCAACAGGTGCCAACAGGTGCAGCAGCTGTATTCATCTTGTTGACCAAGCTCCATCTGACATGTCTGCCAATTTTCTGTTTGCTGCTGCATTCAGAAAGCTGAGACAATGTAAGGATACACTCAGGATACTGTGCACTTGTTGATCAGCACACTCTCTAGCCAGGATGATTGTTGGCATTGCTCTGGACTTTTTGTCTTGAGGATTTCAGTGTCCATGCTGAGGTTGCCCCAGGAGAAATGGGTCAGGATTCATGGACTTGTCCTAGTTGGTATCTGGCTCTGCACATCCAGGAGGACACACAATGGATCTGGTATTCTGTACTAATGATCTGATAGAGGATCTTTCTGTAACTCCAGGATAATGGGCAGGTCACTCTCTGGGCATACTTAGACTGGCAGCTGCTATAAACCTTTGAAGTCCTTGGGGTTCTCTGAGCTTGGTTGTTTTCTTGCAAACGTAGCCAAGTAATGAAACATTTGCAAGAAAAC